CACGCCGTCGCCCGAGTTGATGCGGTCGAAGGGGGAGCTACCGCTGGCCACGATGGTGATCGGCCGCTCGACGAACTTGCCGTTCTCCACGCGGCTGAGGTAGTTGCCGTCGCGGAGGGGCTGCAGCGCCGCCACAACGGCATCCAGGGTCCCCGAGTCGGATGTCTTGAAGTCGATCAGCAGCGTGACGCTAAGGTTAGGGCTGGACTTGTAGAGTCCGACGTTGCCGGGCGAGCCGCCGTTGTTGTGGTCCAGGATCGCGCGGAGCGGGTTGACGTATTGCGCCAGCAGGGTGCGGCCCGGCGTGGGTAGAATGTGACCGATGGTGAGCGATCCGAGGACCCACCAGACGTCAGCCTCGATCGCCGCGCATCCGGCGCTCAGGGCAGAGAAGATGGGAATGTCGCGTTCGTAGTCGTTGTGGCTGTGGCACGAAGTCGGCTTGACGCTGTTCACTGAGTCAAACGGCCACGGGTTCAGGGGCGCGCTGCCGCCTGTGTTAACGGACTGCGTGCTGAGTGCCGAGCCCGTGAAGAGCTTGTTGATCGCGTCCTGCTTGGGCGGTACCTCACTGCCTAGGGCGTGGTACGAAATCTCATTGTTGCCAACTTGCCAGGTGCCTCCCTTGCTATCAATGTTGTTCGCCCCGGAGCACTGTCCGCCGGTCGCGCTCAGCGCATAGAGGTAAGTCTTGCAGCTATCGGCTGGGTCGTGTTAGCCGCATCCACTAGGTGCGCGGGAAGACAGCTCTTACCTGAAACGACATGGTTTGAGCTTCCTTTGTTGTGAACCTCGACTGATCAAAATATTAGGCATTTTACGCCAGCATTCTGGTACGGCTTAGACCTACAGGACACAAATCCAACGACTCCGTAGGTGGCAGGAGGATTTCCGCCGTTGAGGTAGACCTCGGTGGCTAGCGACAAATACCCGCTGGGCGGGACGGTCTGGCCGTTGGCGGCCGCACAAAAGATGTTGACTGCGCTGTTAAAGCCCCGGCGCGTATCGGTTCCTTGAGCAATTGTGACGTCGTCTCGGGGCATCCACTCGCTGCCACAGCTGGAGATGGCGTTCGTGGCCCGGCGGTCTATTCCTGTGGGCGTGCCGCGGACGGCTGGGAGGTTCTACGTCAGGTCAGCCGGGGACACCCTGGACGCGCTCGGGCGGGCGCTTACCGCAAAGCCGGTAATGGCCAGCGCGATGGTGGCGAGCTCCATGGTGGCAGCTTCACTCTACAAGGCCGTCGGACGCGACAACGCAAGGGAGCAGAAACACAGAGTCACTGCCTGGCCCGTTATCGCTCGAGGCTAAACATGGCATCCATGTATTAAATAGCTGGTTTGCGGGTGCCTGGCGCACGGGAGTCTTTCACATGGGTAGAACCAATTGGGTGTCGCATCCGGACCGTGTGTCGCTAGTTGATCCTCTGGGCGCAACGTAGAATCCCACCTCCCCTTTAGATTACCGAGCCTCCTGCCAGGGGTCCCCGCATGCGCGGAGGGCTGAGAGCCGGAGACGGGCCGTATACTGCGCCATGTCGATCCATTAAAGGCTCAAAGAACCGCGAACTCGTGAACATCGAATTTGTTCCCATGCTCAGCGTTCAACATGCCGACATCGTAGCATATTTCATGTTTCTCCCCCCTCTCCCTACCTCCCCCAGCTCCGCTGGCAATTATCTCACCTACCGTCCTCTTTATCCCTGTAGTGTTATGATCCCGCGTTCGGCTTGGCGCCTAACGCCCTGCTGATTTGAGTGAGCCGTTATGCGGGGCTTCGCTGTCCTCGGGCCACTAGGGAGTAGGGAGCGGTCGGTTCCACTGGAAGCGGGCTCCTGCCCCTACATGCAGCACGCGCCTAGCCTCCAGCTGCAGGGCAGCAAGCAACCTTCTAGCAATACGTTACCATCTGCCGTACCATTCTACCCACGTGCCGGGTTGCTAGGTAAGTATAATGGCATTTGGCGGGGTAGCTGCTCAATAATCGACTATTCGCAATGCTACCCTGGAACTGACCAAGCTCTGGCATGCAACTATAGCTCAGCAAGGTCCTAGACTTTTGCGCCTCTCGTTCAGACTAGCTACCTTGATAGAGTCAAGTGCAGCTTTTCCAGCCACCTCATGACACCTGAATGACCAGGGGTAGAAGAGCACCACTGCATCGGCATTCCAAATATAAACTGGGCTAGGCTCGCACAGTATTCCTAATGCACATTCCCGTAGGCTGTCAGCCGGACATATCAAATGGTTGCTGCGATCGAGGAATTACCGTCCTTAAAGGAATGCATATCTAGCTCCGACAAGACAAGCGGTATCTAGTATTCTGAGGCTGACTCTCGAACAAGGCAATGATTCATACTAATGAATGGGCAATGCTAGCGACGTACCTGACTAGTACCCTCATCCCCCTGATGCCCACCACATCGATTCTGGGCAGGTGGGGCTAAGCAGGAACTGTCGTTGGCACTTAGTAGCCGCGCAGCTTGGTGCAGGGGTATATACTGACTACGTGAATGACTTTTGTACTCTCTACTAGTGTGCATGCAAAGCGGAAGGAAACTCTTCGAGACAAATGCGCATACAGGCGCTCTATAACGATCAAGTCTTCGAGGCCTTCTAGGTTCGTTGAACCGCTAGTTGAAGTTCTAAATGGTTGTTATTTAGGAGGGAATCTAAGTCTGAGTATGTCTCTACTTCGAAGCGGCTTGCTAAGAGGGGAATAAACCCGCATTGCCTTTCCTCACTTCAGAGGTTCCAAAGCGCCCGCAGGTCCCAGTGCGCGCGGGGGCGGACGTGTTATTGCATACGTAGACATATCGCAAGCCAACGGTAAGGGCTCGTGGCCTGTGAAGCTCGTAGGCACGGCCCGTAGCCTCCTTACCGGGCTCTAAGGCGACAAGAAGCGTAGAAACACGCTGTATCGCTGCGTCCTCTTCTCGTAGTTGCCATGGTACTCCGCTCTATTACATTGATCGTTATATGTAAGGTAGAGATCCTGTGCAGTGGCGAATTATGTGTTCATCGAGACAGTCGTCTTAAAATTTGCCACCTGGCATCTCGTGTAGCCCGTCAACCACTTTCATAGACGGTTCCCTAATGATAGGACCGCTGTCCATCTCGTAGTGCTGCTGGCCTTGGGGCAGCTCATGTGGTAGCTTGTCGGGAAACGCAACTGCCGCCAGCTCGGACTTCGGCGTGTTGGACCAGCTTTCGCCTGGTATAGGCGCGCCGGCTGCTCTTCGCCGGCGGATGCAAAACGAGGCCGCGACGATGATTCCAATTCCTACGAGAGAAACGGCGATGCCGATGCCAGCCTTGGCCCCCCCGGACAAGCCGCCGGCGGATTGGCCTTCTCCAGATGCGGCGGACGATTCCTGGGTGCCCGCTTCATTGGTGGCGGTTGCCGTCGTGCCCGATGCGGATGTCAGTTTGGCCGTCGAAGTGGCAGAAGATGCCGCTGAACCCGTGGAGCTCAAGGCAAACGTTTTCTAGGGGGGAGGGCAGTCAGTATAATGTCCACGGTCGCGGTCTATCTGCCTGTCCCGAGGAACCGTCTGCGCCGCTCCATCCGCTCGCTGGCTCTGACGGGAACATGGAAGCCCCATCGCCTAGGTGGTTCGGCCAACAGGGAACGAAATCGATGAAAGAGACGCGCATGTGACCAACTAACCTTGTCTGCCTCCTCCTTCACGTAGGAAAACTCGGGGCTGGTCACGCCCACCGTGTCCATGCTGGTGTTGGCCGGCTGCGCCGGCCTGAGATTGAACCAGCATGTCGTGCCTGTAAACTGCGTGTTCGATTGCAGTTTCACGGCAATCACGCTATGGCCCGTCACATCACTCGGGCTGTAGTAGAGGATCTCTGCGCACGCGTAAGCAGGCGACTATAGGGCTGGCGAGGGTGTCAAGGACATCATCAACCCACCCTGTCGGTCGTCATTAACGTCCCAGCAGAAAAGATACAACCAGGGCGTGTCATAGTCGGTGACGAAGGATACATCGACGGTGTCGAGGTAGTTGAAGGTGAGATTGGCGGTTGGATATGTGATCTTGTCGTCTGCCGTGACTGCTGTAGCTAGCAGGCTGGCCAGCAGGACGGCGATGAGATGCCGTAGCGGATAGGCCATGGCGACGGTGACAACGGTTCTCGGCAATCGCATGTAGCGGGAACGGGGGACCCGGGCTTTAGAATTCTGCATGGACAGGAAATAAACGCCCCAGATAATTGGATCGGACTACTCTTGTTGCCCGGACCTTGGAACCGGAGCATAGGCCCTCCTTGGTTGGGCCTATTCCGTACAGCAATCTTGATTTGACCCCACTGCAGCGCCGGCTAGACAAGTAGAGTAATTAGAGACGAACCAAACCCACAGGGGCGGCCGCTCTAGGGCAACGGCCACCATGGCCTCGCTTCCTTCCCCTGGTCCCAAGGCCCGGACTGTCTCAACTTTTGCTTGGCTGAGATCGCTACCAGTGGCCCCTATTGGTTAGTTACCCACAATGTGAATCGGAAGACCCATCACGAAGCCACCCGCCCTGCGTAATACCGATCGCGCGAGGGAATCGGATGCCTTTCCTTCCTTGGATATAGTGTATATTTTTCTTGAATTTGCTCTAGTTCTTACCAATGTGGAGGTGAATACGAAGCAAAAGTCGCTGTGAGACAACGTCACGGTGAGCCTCCCAAAGTCATCGAAGTGAAGCGCTCGCTGGCCAAATTCCCCTATATGCAGGCCGCTTGGAATGGAATTGCATAATTTCTCATATTTCCCAGCGTTACATGGTAGTTGGCACCGCTCCGGCGTTCCGGGTTCCCGGCTGTAAAGTGCGAGTCGCTACGAGGGGTGAAACGAATGGGAGAGCAGACACGAGTCAAGAATTGTTACCCGTTTACGGTATAATGCTCCCTCCATCAAAATTTTCGGCCCCACCCACTTGGAGTCACAGCGCTCGTCGCCAGAGGCGTTTTGTAGTCTCTTGCAAGTTCCAAACTAGCACAAATGCGTCGGTGGTTTAGTGGTAAAATCCACGCTTGCCATAGCAAGCATATCTGCGTGGGCCCCGGGTTCGATTCCCGGCCGACGCATCAGAATTTCTTTTTTGTTCTTTTTTATTACCTTGAATTTTTCGGTCGTTCGCCACATCTACGGCATCTACGGTACGGTCTATGCCTTTCGTTTCTGTCGTCGCTAGAGCGTCATTCGCCTCCTTTCAGGGCGATTTAGGTAGGGGAAGAAATCACTTCCAGTATAATTACACAACGATGCTCGAACCACCTCACGGAAACTTAATAAAGCTCCCCTGTCTCACATCAACATTTGCGGAATCTGTGAGCTTTGTACTTCACGGAGAGAATTGTATAGTTCGCTTCGACTGTCGAACCTGGCATTGGCATTCTCGATTCCAACTTTCCTAAACTCAACGGATGGTCACTGTCCCTCCTCCCTTCTCATTCTCGATATACTTGTCTATACACACGCCTATAATCCTGTACGGATCCAGCGGGTGATTTCTGCAAATCAGCAAATTCCCCGAGCCATTAGTGTCCACGTAGCCATAGTTTCGCATCATATTGGAGAGGTCGTGGCTGAACTCCTCCCTAACCAACGCTCTGCCGATGGGCCATTTTAGCTGGACTGGGAGAGGTTTTCCGGCTTTCGTGCTTCTGCAGCTGGACGCATGAGTCTTGTGCGCGTTGACGTCGCCGCCAAAAGCAATCAGATTGTAAGCCCTGCCGACTTCCCCAGCCTGCACTAGGCCTAGACCATCTTGCAGGATGATCCGGTTGTCTCTGTCTAGGTCAACGGCCGTGGCGCCGAGGGAGCTCCCCTCTACCGCGGTTATGGCTTCGAATATGAATGAGAAGGGGGCAGTGATGTCGCATCCGCAGTTCAGCGTCACTTGGCATAAGATGTTCTGTGTAGTTTCGTTCGCGAGCCGGGACCCGCATCCGTCTATGTCAACCAGGTTGTAGTTCATGGACAGGTTATGTGGTCTGATAAGGGTTGGCTGCTCCCAGGGCGTGCCGCTCACGCACCGGTCGATCCACCCCTTGGGCTTCGCGTTGGGGTCGCTGATCTTCCACATCGGTAGGAGCTTACCGAGCAGCCTCGTCCTGTACGCGACGACATCGTTGTTTGGGTCCAAGAGGCTACCCAGGATCGTCGCACACTGCACTAGCGTTCGGCCTGTTTCGTCCATGTACACGTTGCGGGGTGCAGAGTGGCCTGGGATTTGCTCGCTGCTGAAAGTTCCGGTCTTCACTTTCTTTCCGCAGTTGCACCCCTTGAAGACGAAACGGAAGTCTCCCTCTCCGCGCCGAAGTACGATCTTCAAGTACTTCCGGGGAGTACCTTTGATACTAGTTGTCGCGGCGACCTTTGTCTGCCCGTTTTTCTTGAGGTCTCCCAGCATGATCACACCGGCAAAACAGTTAGTGTTCTTCATCCCCTCGTTGTTTTCGACTACCGGAATCCAGTCCCACTCCCCCCTTTCGCGGCTGCTTATCGCAAGCTTGGTCCAACCATAGCCAGTCTTGGTGGAGAGCCGCTTGAAGAAGGAGAACGATATTTGGTCCATGTCGTCCCCAAACTGCTCGATTTCCTCCTGGCTGAACAGCCCGCTGAAAATGCCGAGGAGACCCTTGAAGAGATCCACCTTATCATAGCAGTTCCGTTCGGTGATGGAAATGGCAGAAAATATGTTGCTGACTCCCCTGTAGTTCTCAACCCACCAATTCGGACCACCATTGATGATGTCAGTCCTCGCCGAGGTGATACCCATGACCTGCACCTTCAGAAAGACAAGACGTAGGATATCCTCCTCCAACACCCTCAAGATGTTATCGATCGCCTCGGTGTTCATGTATCGACCTTCGGCGCTCCTGTATCGGCACCCTTGGATCCAATCCCGCAATTTCAACGCCTTGTCAACTGAGTCTGTGGCGAGGTCCATCCAGACACGGAGCTCCCCAATGTCCGAGAGACCTCGGTAATTGACCCCCCACATTGTGATGTTCTTTCCTAGAATCATTTCCTGGAATGTCCATACCCTAGAGAAGTATAGGCTTTCGAAAAGCCGTCGGACATGTTTGGTACAGGTTGAATAGCAGTTGATGATTCCCATGTCGACGGCAGCGGATTGTACCACGGACTTTTGCAACGGGAAGTTCCACGCCATTTCTGTCCACAAGGACAGGCGGTTGCCCAGCTTCTCCGTCAGCTGCTGAGCTTCCGATGCGAGGGCGGCTCCGCCCATGATTGACAGCATGTGGTCGATAAACTTAAGGTCATCCACGATGTCTTGCGGATACCACACCTCGGGCATGTCGACCAAGATATGGCACTGGCGCGCGCGCTTGTAATACTGGAACATCTTGAATATTTCTCCGGCCTTCTCCTTGGCGTCGGTTTGTTTGATGCACAGGCAGTCAACCCACAGATACTGCACGCCAGCAGTGATCATTAGCCTCTTCATTTCTTCTAGTTTCTCTTTTTTGAGAATCACGCCCCAATCGACACCCGTGATTCCGCAATCGCTTGGGTCGTATGGGGCTATCTTGTCACCCCATGTGTATGAGATGATGTCAAATTCCTCTACATTGGAGCCGCGGGTATCGAAGACATAGAATTCACCGCTGTCGCGGCGGCCGAGGAGCCTCAGCGGGAGGCTTGACTGTGCCTGGGACGCCATCTCCCCAAGTGTGGGAACCAAGGCTGGGCTTCTAGTTGGTGGTGTTGGGGGGTGTCCTGGCAAGAAAGTTCATGGGGGCTATCAGTTTCAAGCGGCTCAAGGGAGGATGGAAAAGACCGGGAAGTGGGCTGAAATGTAGCCTGCAGTCACATACATATATCACGTTGACTTATTGTATCAGTGAACGCTGATATCGAGCCTTGTAGCCGCATATTCTGTATTCAATTTTGGTTGGCCCTAGTAGCCGTGGTGGCTGCTATTATACGAGATTGAAACCTATATGCATTTCAGCTTGCAAGGTGTGACGGACAACGGGCGGTTAGAACGGCACAATAATTAGTAGGTTTTGACCGCGGCACACCATTTCTTACTGCGTGCCGCATACTTACTCCACATTTGGCACTAAAAGTCTCTATATGGTATAGCGTTCTTTTTGCACAGTGAAACTAGTATTGTTGATCTCGACGCGCTCAAAAACAAGCGCAGCCAGCGAGCGTAGCCAGCGTAGTCAGCGTAGCCAAGGGGGGAGACCCCCCTAAGACCCCCCCCCCTTCAGCTCGTGATATTATTTTAAAAGAACGCCTTACGATCAGCTTGATTATTCTCACTATGAATAAAGAACGCTATACCCTGTATAGAGCTTTAGCGCCAAATGTGGAGTCAATGTCCCACGTACTGTAGTAAGAAATGGCGTGTGCTACGGATAAACCTCATAATTAGTGGTGCGGCCTTGTCATTTGCGTACGCCACAGTAGCACCGCATCCTCCCTCCCACCCCATGGACAAAATGCATCTTTCAAGCTGAACTTTTGCTGAACTTTTGACCAATGGAACCATGAAACGCAGAAATATGACAAGGTTTACCGGGCAGCAGCCTGATAATAGTCTCGACAGGCTCACTCCAGCCTTGCCTCCGTGCGGAAAATTTAGAGCTCGGGGGAATCTGCAAATTCGGGCAGCGTAAACCCAATGGGGTTGCGGTGCCCGGTGATCTCGGCGCTTTCCACCGCGTCACGAATCTCCTTCGCTTCCTCGGAAGAAAGGTGTACCTGCAGGGCCCCCATATTTTCTTCTAGGTACTTGATCTTCTTGGTCCCAGGAATCGGGATGATATCCTCTCCCTGCGCCATTAGCCACGCCAACGCAAGCTGACCCGGAGCACAGTTCTTGCGAGCCCCGAACGACTTGAACACATCCACAAGGATCAAATTGCTGGCGAAGTTCTCCTTGCTGAAGCGGGGGATAAACCGCCGAAAGTCATCCGGGGCGAAGTCATCGGGGGATTTGATCTGGCCGGTAAGGAAGCCACGCCCAAGAGGCGCGTAGGCAAATACAGTGACGCCTAGCTCACGGCACGTCTTGAGCAGATAGGTGCCAGTCTCGTTCTCGATGTCAAGTTGCCACGGGCTATACTCCATCTGAACTGCATCGATCGGAGCGATAGCATAGGCACGACGGAGTGATCTAGACGAACATTCTGATATCCCAATTCCCTTGATCTTGCCCTCCCTACCCTTCGTTAGCAGGCGTTCCCCTCTAGGGATAATTGGTCAAGGCTTACTTCTTGAGCTCAGCAAGCACTTCAATGGTCTTCTCAACCGGCGTCACGTTATCGAGACGATGGATGTAATAGAGATCTATGCTCTCAATCCCAAGGCGTTTCAAGCTTTGTTCACACGCCTCCCGCGTGTATGCCGGGGATGTATCTGTAGATGCGTCGTAGCTACCATCTTCGTTTCTGACAGCCTTGATGCCGAACTTGGAAGCTAGGAAAATGTCCGCACGGCGCTCGGGATGGAGTTTGAACCACTTCCCAAGTAAGTCCTCGGAGTCACCGTAGCCGTCACTGGTGTCCCAGTTGGTGCAGCCAATCTCCCAGGCACGGTCGAGCACGGCAAAACGTTCCTCATCGGTGCTTCTCGGAGCTTAGGATACTACGGAAGAGAAAGACAAGGGTCCTGTGACTTACCCGGCGAACCCATAGGATGCGCTCAAGCCCATGAGCCCTAGGCCAAGAGCGGTGGCTTGACGTCCCGTCTTGCCTACGTTACGGGTTGGAAGAGGAGAAGCAGACGTCATGATTGGACAATGTCCTCTGCAAAGATCAGAATCAATTGAGTTACAGTCAAAAGCAATGATGCGCGGTGTCCCGAACCCAGCGAGATTCTCAGTGTTAAATACACCCTCAAGCTCGGTGTTAAATGCATCCTCAGGTTATAGAATTGAGGCTTAAGGCCGAAACGAAAGGCCAAAACGACTACCTTCCCTAGATAGATGTCGTAGAAGACGGCGAATAGAGCATGGCCATACTATGCATGAGCTTACGCCCAGGAACGCCATCGGCTCATCGTTCACTCCATAGAGGTATTGCGCTGGCGAAAGGCTGAGTAACGA